GCGCTCCTTCCCGGCCCCGAGTGAAGCCTCAACCCCGCCCCGCAGCTGCACAGGCACAGCAGCGGGCACTGTGGCACCGCCCCGAGGGATGGCTGCCCCAGGCAGCGCGGCGCTCCTGCGGGGTGCACAGGCTCTGGCCACAGGCTGCCGCGCGTCACTAGGTAAGGGGCAGCTACGCACTGCACAGCGAGTACTGAAAGACCACTGTTAAACCATTTTCTCTCATTAATAAATGTTGCACAGTTTGCTGCCTGCAAACTTACCTCCCAGGACAGCACCTTTAAACTCTCCTTTCCTCCTGTATTTCAGTCCACGTTTTCACAACTGCCATGCATTTCAGTCAGTCCCTCTTCGTATCTCTCTCTCTCCTCCCAGGCCAACAGCCTGGGGAGCCCTAGGGCAGGGCCACTCCTTTGCTCCCGAAGCATCAACAGCGAAGGCCGACTCCTCCCGGGGTTCAGCTGCCCCTCTCTGGGAGGAACAGTCCCCTTTCACTACACAGGCAAAAACCCCTGCATTAGTCCCCAAAAAACATGTTTTACCTCCCCGTTATTACACATCTGTCAAAACAGGAAGGGAGTACCACAGGTGGTTCCTGCATAGGTTCTTCTGCGATGTCCTGTCTAGGCTTTACCACAACTAGAGCTCGAAACACAGAGGTGCCCAACAGGAGCAGTAGGCACAGAAGGACTGGGAGGCTTTACCGGCTGATGTACACAGTCTCTTCTCTCTGCAAGTCCTGACTGGAGCAGTCCAGCAGAAAGGTGTATGTTTGAGGTGAAATTCAAAAAACAAAGCTTAGGGCTGGGCTGGCCACTAAGGCTGTTGCTTCCAGATTATTGTAACTACAAGAACAGGATTTATGTAGCTGTTGGTTGCTAGGCAGCTATTTCCAAACCTCTCAGAATTTCACAGACCAGCATGAGGAAGATGCACGCCAAGCTCCGGCTCCCACAAACTATGCAGTTCCTTCCTTGCTTCCATGCCAATGTCAATTTGAACTTTTATCCAAACACTCCTTCCAACCCCTCACACAGCAACTGCTCAGCATCCCCTAAGCACTATGCAAGACAGCGCTACAGGAGACACTCATTGAGATAAGCAAGGAATCCTCTTTTAGTTTCCATTTATCTAATGTTTCGTTGTTGACACATTAATTTTGAAAGATCTATGATCTGATACACTCTTTACCCCACTGTTCTCAATTTTTAAGTGATCTTGATGCAATATAGACAGCAATTCTCTTAGCTAGTTCTTATTTGTCAAAAATTCTATGATTTAGATATTGAAATTTATCTAACATTTAACTCTGGCTACTCATCAGTGTCTTACCAGACTTCTCACAAATCAAGGCATTTAACTGAATGTATTTATGAACAAAAACCAGATCATTTCTGAAGTGACAGACAAAAAAAAGTTATTTACAAGTAATACATATAATAAAACTATGATGATAGGCCTTTATACACTGTAACTGCAGTCAATCTTTGCATTGTTTAAAAAAATTTCCTTAAACAGAAATTGTTCAGAATTATCAGTTTGTCCATACACGTGTATGTTATGAGAAATACAACAGCTTTTCACATTTTTAAAATTATCAGCATAATTTACATTTTTTTCCCCCTCAGTATCAAGTGAAGATTTTAAAATGGTGCAAACTGGAACACAAAGAGAAGTAGCTATGAAAGTTGCAATACAATAAATTTGGAACATATTAGTGTTTCAAACTACAAATCCGTGAGGAAAACCCCTTATTATTTGGCATGATCCCCTTCACCATCCACCCTCAAAAGGTCAAAGCAAGATAGCCTTTTAAAGTAACAGTGATTATTGCATATTATATCTTTGGAAAAGCAGAGTTTTAACCAAAAATATTTTTGATGTAGTTGAAATATAGACGTATTTATCTTAGGGAGGAAACAAAAGTAGAACACATGATCAGTAATGTTATCAAATCAATCCAGTTAATTTGTTCCATCCTTGCTTTGAGTAATCCCCCATACCTCAGATCATCCAGTTAAGCAGATGGGTACTTCAGCAAGCCAAGCGCAACAATCCAGTTTTACACAACCAACTTTAAGAATATTGGTCTTAACTTACAGTAACCCATCATTTAAGTGCTAATAGGTAAATCAACATATATTTCCAACTGAAATAACAGGGAAAACATTTACCTTTTTTAAACCAGGATATACAAAAGACAATTTGCATAGTTACAATTCAAGCACAAAGTCACTGTAAATAGGTACAAAAGCATTTATAAATTTACTAAATTTGCTGCTGTTTGTGCCAGCCAAATCTTAAGATAGGTATGAATGTAAACTTGAAGGGACTGAGGAGAATAGTCAGTGTTTTTGCTTAAAAAATACGGAGAGAATGCTTTTACAGTTTTTAAAAAATATCTTCTGCAGCAGAAACAGTTTAAACCCTAAAGAAAGCCATCCAAAATGCCCAAATTTTTCCTATACAGCAGAGAAAGTTTGTTCATAGGTTTCAAACCTACATACAAAGTGAGGCACTAGTTACGCTATTTTGGAATGTGTCCATAACCCTAAAATTTCAGTTCACCCCAAGACTTCCAAAATGCTGTTGGCTTCTAACTTTCTAGGAAAACATATCTTCAGAAGGTGGTGCATAAGAAAATCCAACAAATGCATCATCCGCCTCTAGGACACTGGCATTAACAATGTTGTAATCAGAAGAAACGCAGACTGAGTATGGGACCATTTCTTCTGTAAACACTGCATCAAAATTCCCAATATCATCTGGTCCAACCTAGAAAACAAAGATCTATCAGTTGTAATATTAATACCATGTTTTAAATTTGTGCTTGGCCTTTACATTTCAAATTTAACTCTTGAGTTATCTGTTTAAGTACAGAAAATACAGAGAGGTACACCACAGCATCCCTGAAAACTGCTATTACAAGCCTGCTTGTTTCCTTTAGGCTGGAGTCCAGGACAAAGCCTATGCATCTTCACAATCTGATAAACAAAAGAAATATGAAGAAACATCTTTTTCTTAAATTACTGTTAGGAAGATGCAAAAACCAAGCACAACCACCCTCCTCCCTTCTAAAAGAAGGGAGGACACACAGACACACACACACACAACATCACCCTGAACAAAAAAACCAAACCAATCAACAACCGTCAGAAGAAAAACCATCAAAACAACCCTCACCCCCAAATAAATACCAAACCACACCAAATTCCTTCTCCTTTTTCTATCAATAAATTCAATTCTAGCAACAGTACTGTTGTTATGATACATCAGCTTCCCAGTAACAAGCCTAAGAACTAAAGCAGAGGAGTATTTAGTCCCAAAGAAGCAAGACAGCCAAGGCTTCCTCACCAGACAGACACAGACCCAACAAAACATGACACGCTGATGTGACTGTAGGAAGGACTTCCTCCTTGCTGTCCCCTCCCAGAGTCTTTGGACAAGAAGTCACAGGTTAACACAACTGAAACTGATGGGAGGAAACTGAGAAGCTGCAACTAGTAACTACAAAAAGCAGGAAATCAAGTCTTTTGAAAAGTCATCAAATAAAGAGGCTGGCTGTATATTCTTTGGTGGTCTTCAGAACCCACAAAACTTGACACTACTTTGACAGGAATGAGCAGAGGAAACAGTAATACGTCAAAACGAGTTTTAAGTGAAAAAAGAAAAAAAGGAAAAGGAAAGGAAAAAGAAAAAGGAGAGAGGAGAGAGAAAAAAAAGGGAAAAGAGGGGGAAAGGGGGAAAAGAAAAAAGAAAAAAGAAAAAAAGAAAAAAAGAGAAAAAAGAAAAAAAAGTAAAAAAAAAGAAAAAGACGCATCCTTGCTCAAAAGGCCAGTCGGCACTGGGGCATTCCCATTCTTCACCATTCTGAAACAAAAATCCTTTGCAAATAGATGAGTCCTCAAAAGCAGGAATTTGGCAGGTATGAATTCAAAGAGCTCCAGGTACTTACCACATTAGGATTAAATGGTGGAGGAATCTTCTTCTGAAGAAGGTCAGACCAGCTGAGAGATTCAAAGAATGGGTGCTTCTGAATTTCAAGCTGCAGTAAGGAATACAGATTTTAAGTATTTCAGGAATCCATCCCGGGCATTATAGCAAATACCACATCAGACTGCAGGCACATAAAGGAACTCAAGTCCTTCATCAGTTTTTTTATTTAGGTTTACTTTACAATAAAGGCCACAGTTGGTAAAAACAGCAATTAACATTTGTTAGCCTGGCTCTATAAACTAGTTTCCTTTTAAGATCATATTTTCCGCTTTTAACCCTAAAAACGAACCACCTTGAAGTCTACTATATAACAAGAATGGTCTCTGTTAGTATCTCTGCTCCTGCCTTCAAAGGTTTGTTAGTTTTTGTAAAGCAGATCGCTTTCTGAGAGGCAGCTGCTTCAATAACTCTGCAGTATGCTGACTAGTTATGAAGTGGCGAACACCAACGCTATCGTCCCTTTCATCTCGCTCTACCCTGTGAGAAATCATGATGCCACAGTCTAAATGCTCTGTTACAAGGTCGACAGGCTACCTAACGTTACAGCTGCAAAGGGAAGACTATGCAGATCTCACCATGAATGGATGGGAGAAGTCCTTCTAAGATGAATCCTCATCACAGAGTTCCAAAGACATCTACACTTTCTCACATCACCTTCTTGCAAAGTTTTTGTTGTTACACCAAGAAAACGTGTCATGTTTTTAGGGCTAAAAAAATCAGAGCTGCTGTTTGCACGGTACTAGTGTTCCTCTTTATTTGAAGACTGGTTTTCAGGTAGTTACTGACATTGGTTTTCAGGTAGTTACTGAGATTACCAGAAAATAACCTTTTATTTGATTATTTCCCACTTGCACTACAAACAGTGAAAGCTATCTTAGCATACCTTAGTGACTACAGGAAATGTGCTTCCTTTGTTAGCACTTACAGCAGCAACCGAGCTCAAAATATTTATATTGCACAATCATCATCTCTCTCCTATCCCCAACGGCTTTCAGGGATTGACCACAATGGCATATTTAACAAAGAAATAAAAAGGAGGAAAACAGAGATAGACATAAGAGTGCAATCTCTATCTCCAGCCTGTGCTGTGCACATAAATTTGGTGATGTCCCTTTAAATGAAGACTTGATAAACTAAGTCATTACATACAAAATCTTCCCTTGCTCCAAGTCTGCTCTGCCGATCTTTTTCCAAAAGTTCTTCCAGAATCGACCACGCTGTAAGACTGATTCCTGGGCGCAGAACTAGGGGTTTATGAAGAATATTTTCATACATCTCAGCAACATCACGGCAGTAAAAAGGAGGCTAAAAAAAAAAAGTTATGAAGTTGTATGTGAATTTGAAGCCACACGCAAGGTTATTTCATGCACACGACCAGTAAATGATTCTAAAAGAAATACAGACTGCTAGCAGTGGAGAAGAAATCTAACTCCTTTTAGGCTTTGCTAACTTCTAATTCAGTCCTCAGCACTCCCAGAACTTTACACTTGATAGCTTCACTTCCCCACCCGCCGCCTCTTCTATTAATGTGTTCTCACACTCATAAGTAGCCACAGATGTCATCCAGCTTCAAAGCTCCCATTGAACTTGCCTGAAAAGAACATGAGTGGAAAAAACAGATCTATCTCTCTGTTTAAGGTCCTATGGGAGGAGACAAAAGTCAAGAAAACTAACAGAACAGATTGTTACTGGAATAATTACGTTGAGACTAGAAGAACTATAGTAAGATTTTTTTGTTCTAATGCTGCACCGAGAAGTCCAAAAGCTAGGAGAAAACCTGAGAGACCAAAGCAATAAAAAGTCTTCTAATTTTACTTATTATGGCATTTAGCAAGAATTTATTTGTAAGTTGGTGGGTTTTTTTATTGGGTATTATCACTCCTGATTCAGTTTACTCTCATATTCCCTCAAAAGTGACGACTACTTGTTTTCAGAGTTGATGTCCAGCAGTTCACTGGAAAGCAAAATTTTAGACATAAAGAGGCAATGTGAAATCCAAAAGAGAAAAAACAGGTGCTATGCTAAGTAGAAGACAATCTGCTCATCCACTTAAGTGGAATATTTCAGTATCTTGCAAAAGTTAGCATCTTTAACAACAATTTGGTGTTACTTCACATAAAGAGGAAGAGGGGAGGAAAGCAATCCCTGCCCCGCATATATTAAGTACATACCAGTCCATAAAGCATTTCATAAAGAACTGCACCAAGGCACCACCAGTCTACTGTGTTGTCATAGGGCTGCTTTTTAATGACTTCTGGTGCAAGATACTAAAATAAAATAAAAAAAATGTGGTTTAGACATTGTGGAACATCAGGCTAGCAAGAATAAAACCTATGGTTTAGTCACATCACAGTAAACACCTTCAGAAGAAGTTATTTCACATCAATTTTAAGACAAAGTATTTATCTTGTTCTTCAACGAACCTGACCAATACTTCGTCAGCATCTGGTTATTTACCAAGTAGTACAGGTATTTTCCCGACGGAAACAGTACCTCCCCACACCCTATTGTTTCGCCACACTACCTTGCCACCTCTCCTATGAAACTTGCTTTACGCTTCAGATGGGTTGCCGCACTGTTGTAGAGGGAACATCTTTCGGTAAGCCAGCTACTAGCCATGCCTATTCTGCCTGTATGCCCCCCATCCAGTTCATATAAATGAAAACAGAAGATAATTCTGCCTCAAATGTATCATTAAGTCCAAGGTAAGTGTGAAGACTAAGCCTCTGAACATGAAAAAAAAGCCCCACATTTTCTCAAACGGATTCAGAGCCAACAGTGTTCTAGATACTGTCCTTTGAACTTCCAAAAATATTCAACAAATATTGTTTCAGCTTACATTTACCACTCAGCTTTATGGATTCCTACTCTGATCATAACTATGATAAGTTGTCACATGTTGCCACCTGCCTTTTTTTTTGTAGTTCAAATATTTCAGCTAAATGCTACTCCTCACTCATCCTTCACTGCCTTCAAAGGCCTCTTGTGTAATTTAAAAGTACGTTTATCGAATTATCAAAGCCACTAATCTTGGCATTTCAGTGAATCCCTCACTCGTGTTCAAGACTTTCAGATTTTAACATTTCCAGTGTACTTTCCTCAGTAAAAACAGAACAGAGTTCAATGAACTCATTCAGTTGGTTCAAAGTTTCATGCATATACAAAATCTGCTCAAGTCCCGATAAACTTACCATAACCTGCCACTGATTTTTAGTAAGTAGATTCATATTGGCAAATCTGTTGCAGCTGTTACACAAGCTAACTGTCCTGTGTCTAGCCAGTGGTTACGAGTCATGGGAGGAAACAATGTTTGAAACGGGTTGAAAAAAGGGAGGAAGGAAAGATGATCTATGGGGATGTGGGTAGTAAGTAGGAGACACTGTGTATTACTAAAAAGGACAAAGAATAGATCTGCAGGAAGCTTGTCTTTAGTTTTTGGTTTCATGGAAGAGCTTGCTGAAAGAATGCAAATCTCCAACAGTACAAAACTAGAATATTTTATCTTCCAGTCACACAAATATTAGTAACAGTCAGCAGTCATTAATTACTAGCCAAAAACTCACGAAAGTTGACAACATACTTCTGGTGTCCCACAAAAAGTTGCAGTGGTATCAGAACTTGCAATCCCTTCTTTACAAAGTCCGAAGTCTGTCAACACAACATGACCCTGTTTAAGAAAGGGTGGTATTTTAAAAACGGAACATGCTCAACATGAGGATATACATAACTGTCAATTTTGTGAGAGAACACATAAAACTAAGAAGAATGTTGCATACTTACTAGTGAATCTAGGAGAATGTTTTCTGGTTTTAAATCCCTATTGGAAAAAAGAAAATAATCATATTCATTCAAAACAGCACTACTTGCTTCAGAGGTAAGGACTTAACTCTTCAGTTGAAAGCTTCAAGTTTTGGTGAAGACGGTATGTTCAAGTTTCCCCATAAGATGAATTCATGTAGTGTTTTTCATTCAACAATTTGCCCTATTTTGAACTTCTGCAATACAAGGATACCTTTCAGAAACGTACCTGTACACTATATTTATGGAGTGTAAGTAGCCCAGTGCACTGGCTATTTCAGCAGCATAAAATCTGGCTCTGTGTTCAGGAAAGGAACGTTCTCTTTGTAAGTGAAAGAACAGCTGTAAATACAAAAAATAGTAAATAAGAACTTTACACAACAAAAGGTCAGGTTAGTAACATGAAATTTTAGCAATAAGAAGTAATTTTATTTAGCTGCCCACTTTTCTTAAAAAAAAGTAAAATGAAAAAAAATTGATTTTGGTACTTGACTTTGTCATTTCTTTATTCTCTCCCTTTTTTCTTTTCTGTAGCAAAGAAATGGATAACTCAAACACATACGGACACTCCCCTAAAACCAAGACTAGTCAAAAGGAACTCGAGTAAACCACTAAGATGTGACTAGAAGCTGGCAAGATTAAATCACGCAAGATAGCCTCCTAATCAGATGTAAGCTGGCATCAAATAAGTAATTTTCCATTTCTGTATATACTTGTATGCAAAGTTTTGTATCTAAGTATTTATAGAATTGTATTCTGAAATCACCTAGAGGTAGATCACTTCGGGAGATGTACCTTCCAAGCTGATTCACAAATTCTCTCGACTACAGAGAGCTGTCTGGCTTCAAATAGTTTGAGCAGATAGAGAAGTCCATCCAAAGATTAAATCTTGCAGATTAAACTGTGCTACCCATTCAACTTGCAGAGATTTTAAGGAAACAGAAATTTTCTGTTTTCCACCTCCAAAAGTTAGGGAAAAACATAAAAAGCCATTGGAGCTTTCCAAGCACTTCATTCACATTTGAAAGCTGTTTTGAACTGTATTTTCCTTCCCCTGGAAGAATGCCAAATTAAGTTGTGGCCAGGAATTCAGAGCAGAGCAAACCAGGAGTTTGCTAATACGGTCTAAATAAGATGCCAGTACGATACACAAGAGAAAGGCCCATCTTGCCCCAGCTCCTGACACTCAGAGGGGTCAGAATGCCGGCTCTAGGAGCATTATCAATACTGACAGTAGGCCACTAATGTACATCCTGGTTTATTCAGTATATTTTATACTTGTCTCTGTATATCCTGCTTGAAAAAAAAGGAGAAAAAAAAAAAAAGGAAAGCTTGAGACACATCAAAAAAAGCTATATGGATTCTAGCCCTTCTCCTGTGCTCTTTCACCGACCAGAGTTTTATCATCTCTGACAGTATTCTGTCTCATCCTCCTTTTCTGTTCTGTTTTAAGCACTTGTAAGACCTTCTGAAACATGGGCGTTTTACACCAATGAATTACCAAATTGATAATGCAGCAAGTGACAAGACATAATGCTTTCTTTAAAGCACATATGTTGGACAGGTCCAGTCATACAGTAATTTTTCACTGCACTGCTTTCTTCAATCACAACTGATTTCCTACATAGGTTCAAGTATTATTAGTCTACACGATTCTTGATCTTCCACAGAACGTTTTGAAGGAATGGAAGCAGTGTGTTATACCCTTCTCATGTGTACTGACTATTCAGCCAGTTTATTATACATGAGTTTCTTAAGCACTTCTGGAAGTGCTGGGTAATTTGAAAAGCAACAGGTCCCTACTACCTGAAGACAAACTGCTCCAGAACATCTGCTAATTAAGCAGAATTTCTCAATTTCTTTCACAAGTTCTCTCCCAAGTTACTTAACGGCTCTTCAGATTCAAAAGGATCACTTCAAGGAAAAGAATCCTGAGGATAAGGCTATTTGGCAATAACTAATTAGACCATGCAAAGCTACAGAATAACCTCAAGCTTCCAAGTAATATCAGAGTAGTAAATTCAGTTGCCAGTTTCCTTCCTTCCTTCCACTATGGAAATATCAGCATTTCAGCTAATTTAGATGCAAGAGAAAAAAAGTTTTACATAGTGAAAAATGTTAACATAAGGTTAATTTGTAGCAACGGTAAGTTTATGTAACTATAAAATAAAGAATTTGTACCTGTCAACCATGAACAAATTTGGAATTAAAGTTGTTGCTAAGAAGAAGAACAAGGTCCAAATAGCTATAGAAGTCTGTAGCAATAGCTACAGGATTTTCAAAACTGGGAGAATGCTGATCACAGCCCATTTTAAATGATCATTTCATTCCTCCCACCTAGAATTAGAGCAAAACAGAGAGACTCAAATCCAAGCAACCACCACATACCTCTCCTCCATTAACAAAATCCAGGACAAAGTAAAGCTTTTCTGTCGTTTGGAATGAGTAATGTAATCCAACCAAAAATGGATGTTTCACATTTTTCAAAAGCACATTACGTTCAGCCATAATGTGTTTTTGCTGTAAGGAAGTAAAAGATCAATAAGTAAACAGGAATGATCTTGTAACTGGGGGAAAAAAAGAAGGGAGGTGGGCGTGCAAAGAATACTTCACCTCTTTCCTATTAAGAACAATTTTTTTCTGTAGCACTTTGACAGCATAATATTTCCCATCCAGTTTTCGTTTTGCAAGAAGAACCTGTGAAATTCAAAACAAATGAAGATGATTGTTGCAATTCACATTCTGTTAGTAAAAATTTCGTAATTTCAGCATAATTGGAAAGTATTCATGCTATTTTTTCACAATACAGCTTCTTTGCCTCTAATACAGTCAACAAGCAATACAATTATCAACAGAGTGAGTTTACAGTTCAGTAAAAATCTGTCACAATAGTGATACCATGAAAGACTGAATTTTAACATTTCTTTTCCATGACCTATTGAATTTCTATGGAGATCAATTTCAGCTGGTTTTGTAAGTTTTAAAGACAATTCAGTGAAAAATAACTACTTGAAAAATAACCTGAGGGGGGGAAAAATATTTCAAGAGGGATTCTCTGTTGCACTTTTGTAGAATATCACTTTATAAGTCACATTTCAATGAGCTGTTGCTCACACCACTCCCCAGCATCAGAGGTTTGACAGCACAGTCCATGCCAACAAAGGGAAATGCACAATTCATACTCCAGCTGCTGCATAAGCACAGGGATACCTCCCTTCCTCTCGAGGGGAAACAGAGGATCCCTCTTGCTCTTAATGCGAAAGGGAAACATTCCCTTTTGCTACTCCCAACAAGTGACCAAGGCAGCCAACAACTGCCACACCAGGGAAAAAATGGCAGAACTAAGAAGCAGCAGACACAGGGATCCAATATGACAGTTTAGATGCCACCCTAGACTGACACCACTTCCAAAACCTGTGTCCAAGTTTCTAGCCAACTGTCACCCTGCATGACACACCAGCTAGCATCCTTGCATCATAAGACAGCGCAGTAAGAAACCTCACCTTGCCAAAACTGCCTTTCCCAATAACTTTCAGGAAATCGAAGTCTGTTGGTTTAGCACTGAAAGATATTTAAGGAGACATGTCATCTGGGTAGAAATCACAACCTTTCTAGCTGCTCAGCAGTAGCAGTGGAGTTGTAACGTGCAAAGAACAGTCTGTTAACATGCCGCTCTACTCTTCATTCCACCCAACATCTAGATTTACTCAGACCTTCCCTCAGAGGCAACATCTCCTTCATTTTGCAATTCCATTTTTCTCCAGGGCAAACGTTCAAGCTGCATCCTTTGAGTTTATTTTATAAGTTGAAGGTTAAGATGTAATTGAGGAGCAAGACTGTTTTTTCATTCCCCATAGCCTAGTTTCTTGTAATATTTTAAGTCTCCAATCCCCCATGACTTTTCCTGGACCTTATTTCTCACTTCCAGAGGGCCAAATGGATTCTTCAAGCTTATGAGAGGGAAGAAGGGAAGGACCACATTTGTTATCTATTCTCTCTGTGCTTATCCCCATCATTCCCTCCATCCATTCTTCTCTAATTTTAAATTGCAGCGAGAGGAAGGAGGCACAAACACTTTCCTCTCCTGTGTGTGAATTCACACTCATTTTTTCCACTTCCCACTTCACTGGTCCTTTCAGATTTTCCCAGGATTCCTTTACTTTTTCCCTAAATACAATTCATGGATATTTTTGTCAGCAAAACAATTATCCATGTTTTCAAATTCCAAAACAATAGTTACATCACCATACACCTCTCCATTTATTGCCCTTGAAGGGAAGTACTCTTAAACTTCATTTCTTAACTGCAATCTATTAGGCATTTCCTTCTGTTAGCCCAGAACAAATCTGTGAGGAAGGCAAAACCAAAATAGCAGTCATATCCTAGATGAGAAAAGAAGATTTATGCAGAAATGAGGAGCATACACCAGACAGAGAAGCAGGTTATGACTGCAGTAACTAGTTTGTAGTATCAACAAGGGAAACTGTTCCTTTGCTGTGCACTGAAACAAACTTGTTTTCAGAAATTGTTCACATTCTTAACAGTTGTGGAACCACTCCCAAGAGAGAGAGGTCATCTTTGCTATGGTATCCTTAAGTAAAAAGATAGCAGACTAACACAATCTGAATGTGAAAAAGGAAAAACTTTTAATGGTTGTTTATTTAGCACAGGATTTTTGCATTCTTGAAATGGTGCAAATAAAAAAATATAGGTGTATATTCAAAGAACTTTTCGTACTACTAACAATTATGCTTAGTCTAACTTTACAGGTTTCAAAATTAATTTTAATAAAATCTCATGAAAATTTCTTTTTTGTGTTAAATTGAATTGAAACCTACTGAGGATTTCCAGATGGTCCCAAGTTGATATTCTGTGAGGTAGAGTTTAACTGTTGGGAGAGACAAAGAGGTTTATTTTTAATACTTTTTAATCCTCTCTTACATTTCAACCAATATTAATTCCAAAATAGTCTGCTAACTTGCTCATTCCATACCTTGACACTCCTTATACCAGATTTTTAAGGAGATTTAGCATCTAAATAGGCAATTTTTTAAATTGAAATATCCACCCATCATCACCTTGTCATAAATTATTTCCACACACATCACATTCAAGGATGAAGGTAATAATACTCTCCAGACACAGATGACAAGATTAGGAATAAAAATTTAAGAGTGTTTCCAACAAACAACTTTTTCCTCATCCAGAACTTAATCCTTTTATATTTGCTCTAAGAATATATTTTCTACCTTTTATTCTAAATTTTCCAAGATGTTACCAATAAAATTATTTTAAACCCACACTGTTTATGCAAGAATAATTAACAAAAGACATGGTGTTTTTAAAAAAACAAAAGAATATTCTCCCTGCCCCACGAAAAACATTACCAACTTTTCCTATCCTGATATTAAAGGTTAACTAATTCAATTTCAGGAACGACATAAATCTTACCAGAACACACCCTGACAGAATTTGTTAGTTACAGGGAGAGGAGGAAGCCACTGTCATTTAGGTAATTTTCTCAACTTTGTTTTTGATTACAAAAAAAGCGGTATTTATACCCTCACTGTGGTTTTGAACTTCATCACAGAAGGATAAACTGCATTCAAATACAAGTTACCTGGGGCCAGGCTAGCAGGCATCACAAAACCAGTACTCCTACAGAAAAGAATGCCCTGACAGCAGTGCTGGATGCTACTATTCCCTAATAAAAGACCGAATAGCACAATGGTTCTGGGCAGTTCTAAAAAAGCTACTATATACAAGATTTTTTTTTTAAGGCTTGTTTTGGGTCCTTAGTGTTCATCACTTACCATAACTATGAGAAGGTGAACTTTTTATTGAAAAGTATGGTGCAGGCCACCATACATTACTTGTCTATTTTGGAATTTATTGAAGTGTGACACATCGTTAATTTTCCCCAGAAGGTTTAGATCATTCCACATTACTTAAAATACCTTTCAAAGGAGAAGAAACTGGTATTTTAAATTAGACAAGCACACTGAAAAAAAAAAAAAAAGAAGGCAGCAAAGACTGGCATCTTTGGAAGTGAAACTTTCAGAAAACCCTCAGTCTGCTGTGGGTCACACACAAACGAAAAGGACAACTCTTACATTTTAAACAGGGGCTGAATAAGAGGAGAAGTATTAAGATCACATCTGTATGCCAAGAAGTAAGCCACAGAGAAAACAAGTGCCATATTTAATATGGCACTTCTGCCTTCCTAGAAATACTCCCTTTTTCAAACAGCACTGTTTCTGGAAGTTGTAAACTGATTTTCAGAGAATCCATCTAGCCATGCAGTGGCTTTTGTGACAAAAGAGGCTTTAGACCTCACACAGTGTTATGTGAAATGAAATCAAATCCATCTTTGCTCCTGAGTGACTTTTAGAAAGACTGCAGTTTTCTCCCCCGAGAGAATTGTTTTTCTCCCCCTCTTTAAAAAACACACAAGCAAATAAAAAGACAATTCAACATTCAATATTCCCTTTTCCTTGCCAGATGTTCTGAGCAAGAATATTTGAACAGATTGCAAAAACTGTGACAGCTAAGTCAGGACTAAAGCTGCATTTCTTTAACCCATACAGCAAGTGGGGAAGACGCAAGACAGCTAGCAATCACTTTCACCTCTCTCTCCAGTTCATATCTAACTGAAAAACATCTTACAGCCCACAATGGAACAGATTTGTTTAAAATAGCATGGAGGTAATTTATTGTGAAACGAAGCAGTAATTTTCACTAAATAATATACCTAAGATTGCCCTCAAGTAGCTAAAATATAGAAGACTGTTCTGATTTATTACCTTCCGACTGCTCCTTTCATCTTCATCTTCAGATGGATCTGACTGGTGTTTTGGGTTATCCATCTGAAGAAATGCTCTGACATCTGGGCTAGAAACACAGGTAAAACTTCATTAGCACACTGACAGTCTGCACGATTTTCAGCCATAACCACAGGAAGCGCAGGACTAAATGGCGGCATACAGATGAGTTCTTTATCACAAAGTTTTATACTTAAAGCTCTCTCAGTTAAGGACCACACACAAGAAATGCTTTTACAGCAACATAATTCAACATCTGAATGTGTTGCATACGGTACACAAAATTTTCCACCTGCAAAAAGCTGACATGTTAAGGCATATGTATGTGAAGACTCATAAGGAAATGCTCTGCAGAACTGCATTAAAAGCTAACTAGAAGAAAGCCTGAGTTCCAACTCGTTAGCAACCACCAGGAAATCAACTTACTTGCAAAGAAATTAAGAGTTTAAAACCACTTTCAGTTTTCCCAAAAGAATGAAATAGTCCAGCACAACACAGACTGAAATACATAGTTTTTATCCCAAAGAGATACAAGTCCAAGAGAAACATGGGAGTAACATTCCTGTCCGCATTCACTTTAAAGTTAATGTTAAGAGATTCTTCCAGTCAGCTACAGGACACAAATGCTGTCCTGCAGGAACAGGCAAGAGACTACAGGCTTCCCACAGTGCCCAAGGAAAAGCGTTTTATCTTCAGTACTGGATTCTAGCTTCTGTCTTGGCAGGGGCTGGAGGAGGAGGACTGTGAGAAAGGAGGGTAAGTAACAGTAACAGAGTTCCAAGAAGCCACTCAGGGATGCAAGGCTTACTCAAGAGTAAATTGAAAACAATGTAACGTCTTTATCACAGCACAGTGAGCGAGTAACAATGTAATAAAACCAAGACAAAATTTATTTCTAAACAAATGGGTATCACATATAGTCTATATACCACTTGAAGAGGTGACTTGAATTTTTCAAGTTCTTTCATTTCACTCAAAGGCAGCTTGCTTATCAGGGAAGAAGTCTTACCTAAATCTCAAAGATAAAGTTCTCTAAGAAAGGCAGCCACCGATAGGAGACCCTGCATGAGTTGCTCAGTACAAGAAAAGCATTTACTATGGAGCTGCTCTTTTCTCTTGCCCCTAGGGGGCAAGTTTTATACAAGAACATATACTTGCTTTGCTGTTTTCATTCCATTTCACCCTCAACACCTCTGTGAGGATCAGATATGAATGCCTGTATTTCATATTAGCATTACTGAACGTAACTCCTGTCCTACTTAAAATCTGTTACTTCAGCCTTTCAGGCTTAAAGTACAGCAACAAGGCTGCTCAAACAATTTTCCACCGTAATTTCAGTTTAATTCTTCCCATCTTCAAAAAGTTCAACAACACTGGGTTTGAATATTATAATAACATGGGCTCATGATACAACAATTTAAGTTTCAGAATCTTTTGGATATCATAAAATCAAGAATAAAAAGTTATGGTTAATGCTCTTCAATACAGAACAACAAAATCAGACCTTAATTACCTTTCAGCATTAATTATTCTAGACAACTGGCTGATTAAATAGAGTATGTTGTAATATACCTCAAATAGTTACTATAGTAACTTTGTCCATGATTGAATTCACAGCAGCGGAAAAAAAATAAAATCAAACCCATTCACAGTGAAAGGCTGCTGCACAGTTGCAGGGTGTTCACGATAAAAGGTGTAACTGATCAACGTTACAGTATTCACATTTTTTAATTTTAAAAGCCCTGCAAAGAAGTAGTGATTAAAAATAAAAAGCTTAACGCACCAATTTCTTAGCCATTTCTGAAGCATATTATGCAAAACGCTATACAGTTCAGTAGGACATGTATTAACTTGAGGTATTTTAAAATACACTGAAACTACGCTGAGTAATCTCACGTACAAAATTACAAGGATCAAGAAAACAGTCTAAAAAAAGGGATGCTCAATATACGTTGTAGATCTACTACAAGCAAATGTTGGTTTTCTCTCCATTTTTATGGTTGACTGGATAAATTTAGTTTATGGATTATCTCTGAAATCCATGAAGGGGTGTCAAGCTCCTCTAAATACGGTTTCTTCCATGATATTTGTTCTGCATTAGCCTTCCTGCAGAAACATATGAAGCCATACAAAACCTTTGGACACATGCAGGAATATGAACAAACCTAAAACGTCACACAAATTTTGAAGTAAAATGGTAAAATCAATTGCCAGTGACAGAACCTTAATACATAACGCACGCTTCATTTAAATAATGGTGCCCAGCTCCTCCTGCTTTTCCACAAACCTTTCTTTCTTTAAAAAAATGTAAACCACTGTTATCTTTCTTTCAAAAAACAAAGGCTCAGAAAGCCATAATGTACAGTAACATTTTAAAAGAGCACAACTAATGTAATACAAGGTTTGCTTTCTCCAACATGGACTGCAAGATCTTAATATCCAGAGGTTTCACATTAATTTTTACATTTTCCAGATTTTGAAACCAGAAAAGCCTAGTCACTGATTTTCTTCTAGGAAAGAAGTGCATACTCCCGCTTCTCACTTAAAGCACTGATAATTCGTTTTCCCACAGAGGCTGCAGGGTATTGTCATCCCTGAGTTCTCCAAATTCTATGCAAATGTTCTCATTTTCATTAAGGACCTACTTTGGAATATTTAAAAATAACTACATTACATCTTTAATGCATCCTCTATCACACATTTAGATTCAAATAGATTTTCTTTGGACATATTCTGACAGACAATTAAATGTATTAATTTTTCTGTAAAGACCTACATTTGAGGGAGTGAGCAGCCTCAATTGCTCAATGGTTTAGGGGGCCTCACAGCACTCACAAGTAATTAAGTCCCACCTCCTATTCAAGACAGCAGTCAGCAAGGAGGATGCAGCATTAGATCTCATCCCTTCTGACATTTTTTGCAACACCTGCTTCTATTCTGGAGAGCAAGCTCTCTATCAAATACAGTTAGCTGAGTAAAAGCAGCTTGAAGCTAGTCCACTTAATTCCCAATTCGGTCTAAGCCAATGATCCATCTCGCCCTGTATTCCACCTGACAGGGATTACAGAAAAATCCTTATCAACCATTACAGGGTCTCTCTAATCACTCTAATACACTTTAGGTTTTGGTTGGGTTTATTACTGAGCAGAAAGGTTTGGCTCTGATACAATATTCAACAAACATGTCAAACCCCAGAACAAAGTCCACTGAAGGAGAAGGAAAAAAGAAAAAAACATTACCATCCTGGACACACTGAATCTGACATTTGTGCTTTTCAGTTCAGATGTTCAGGTGCCTTCCCATCCAGAAATGAGGACATAATCATGAACTGTCCTTAAGCTTTTAATGAAAAAGTTTTCCTAGGTAGGGTTGAAAAATATGACATCTTGATACTGGTTTTAATGCTTAAAAGATGTAGTAAAAGGTGGATTTCCTTAAAGTTCTGAGAGAACGCATACCCTCGCTAGCCTTCCTCGTACATTACCTTGTACTACTTTATTAAAGTTATTTTACCTAATACCAAATTTAATTAGCATATTAAAGCAAAACAGTCTATGAAAGCAAGGATGTGGACTATCTGTGAAGATGCAGTCACCACAGATTCCTTGAGTAGTTTCTAACAGGTTTTACAAAAAAAACCCCTCCAACAACCAAGGTCATAAAAGTTCTGGTATTTCTTCACTAATAACATTGATCAGCACATAGCAAAGGTGACAGGTTATGTAATTACTAATTTATTGCAATGGAGCACTGCAAAAAGTAGGAATTCATTCTAGAAAAACAAAGTACCTGGTAGTTATTAAAATAACATAGAAATTACTATAAAATTAAATGCTTTTGAACTGAACTGTGCATTAAAGTCTTGCTTTTTCTCCCGCACATATCACTATTACTTTAAGGGTGGAAGGAGCACACAAGAAACTTCAGTCTCTATTTTGTTTTCATTGTGGAATGTCTAATAAGCTTTTTACTTAGCACACTTTCAACAGCACCAAAACACCTGATTTTAGTTAGTTTTAATGTATCAGATGGGAAAAGTACCATGTTGAAGAAATAGATTCAGCTACAGATGCATTTGAGTGTAAAATAATTTTAAAAGCTCACAAAAATGTGAGAAGGCAAGTGGATTTGAGATTTGGCTTCCCTCCCCCAGAGAAGAACACCACTATGACCACAAACCTCACAGTATTTTTTCTACTGGAAAACTATTCCACCATAAAGACTCTGCTTTGATTTTTTTTTTCCACTTACCACAAGCAAGTATATGTAAAATGCTCCTTTTTTAAAAAAAAAAACAAAAAAAAAAAGGAAGCACATATTTCAGGTTAACAGGATATTAAATAGTACATTTGTTGAAGAAAAAAAAAAATCTGACTGCACACTGTGAACTGCAACAATATTCTGTTTGGTTTCTTTCCTGTGGGAAACAAGCAGTTTCACAGGTTGTACAGATAGGCTAATTAAACAAAGCGTATGTTTTAAAGACATTTACTCAACGCTAAGGTCAAACATAGAGTTTGACCTTTTTACTAGTTCAAGCAACATAGGAAGCTGCACGGATTTCGTTCAAACCAATTAGTTATAGATTTAAAATCAAAGAAAAATGCAGTTCACCCCTCAAATCAGTTCATGCATGGAAGTACTATCCTCCAGATTTCACTGGAGCTGATTCTCTTCACTGTCCTGCTGATGGAGGTTAACACGCCTGTAGTTCCTCTGACCAAAGAGTTTATGCACAAGCTGACTCATTTGTTTCAGACAGATCAGCTTGGTTATCCCAAACCACCTAAGTAAGCTCATTAAGCTACCTGGTTAACACGCTGAAAACACACATGAAACACATGTGTGTTCTGAAACACACACATGAATCGCTCTAACAAAGAGATGCAGGCAGCGACTTACTCCCAGCAACGTAGTAGGGGTGACAGCGGAGTTCTCAAACAGCACATACAGCTATCGGCAAAACAAAAACCTGCTCTGCAGCAACAGTTTACACTTAAGATCAGTTCATTGTCTGCAAGTTTACTTGTGGATCAATTTTCAAAAATCAAAACCATTTTTACACTGTTCTTCAGTCTATAGGTTTTTCCTGAAGGAATGAATAGCTGTATTAAAGTTTATTTATTGTACTTAAAAGCACAGAACAGGTAAAAATACATCTTCTGTAGTTAAAAGTACTTAATTTGCAATTCTGTATTTGACATTTCACGTTTTTTAAATAGTCCTTATAAAACAGAAATTCAGCTACTTACTGGTTGCATAGTTCTGGCTGTCTAACTAAATTCTGAATGAATTCATTCAATCCTGCTCTTCGCTGTTTAATAAAATCTGGTGAGAAAAAGAAAAAAGATAGATTTATTAGAATGATCAGTGAGCTTCTAAAAAGGACTTATTTGCAAATTTAGGTGTTCTTAGGACTTGAACAGCAGATAAAGAGAGATTGGTTCACAGCTGGTTCAGAACAGGGCTGCCTCCATATATGAAAATCACAAGCTTAAAATAGTCAAGTGTGGCGATCGAACAAATTTCAGTTTCTCTGCAACTCTACTTGTAAATGCAGAAATCCATGTGGATTAGAAGTGGACTGAAGTGTCTCAAGAACAATACGTAACCACAGTCGGCTAACCTATACTGGCTTCATCGCATGCACAAGCCCTTCCCAATTCCATTCAAAAAACAAAAACCCCACAGCCAAAACTTGATATGAGTTGCACAAGCCAAGTTTTTACACAGTCCCATCAAGCAGTATATTTCCATAATATATGTACTGCAGTGGGAAAGTTGCACAATTCATTCCACCAGCAGGAACTTAGATGTAACCATTACAGATAACTAAATAAAATGCTTTTCTTTCCATTATGGACATCTCTAATGCAAAAAAAACAACCCAACTCAACCCAAAACAACCTCACAATCTGCACCCTCATACAAAGTTTAGACACATAACTTCTATTTTTCCATACTGCTAAAAATACACAAGGGATTTCAAATAGAAAGAGAGCTTTAACATGAAATAAGTATAAAAGAGAATAATCTTGTCTTTTATTACTCATATCAGCAATAATTTGTATGGAAGAAGAATATTTGTGTATTAACTTTTCAGGTATTCCAATGACTCTGTTCACATGTAGAGTGCTGACAACTATTAACATTTTAAATTAAAATGAAATTTCAATTAAAGCTGTATTTCAAATATTAAGAAAAAAATGTTCATGTTATGAATATAAACCCTAAACCTTTGTTAGGGCATTTAATAGTCCCAAATTACTGGCATCGATCAGGAAGGTACATTTGCATACAGACATTACAGGCAGCACTTTCAGTACAGCAGATGTACAAAATGCCATCAGCTACTCTAAGCCTACAGAGCTATCCATGCTGTTGAAGATAAAACACCTGCACCATGTCAACTCAAATGTATTCTGTAATTTTCTAGTTCTGTATTCTGACTTGTTTCTACAATTTTCCTCTTCCTTATTTTTTGAATTTAAAACAAGATTAGTTTTGAAATAACATAAGTGACAATTAAAATGGAGCATTAAATGATGATGTATGTTATGGTATTACTTTTGGTACATTTTGGAAAAAGGGATACTTAAGTTTCACTCTACCGCACTCTAGTGCTATAGTACAATCCTGCACACCCAAGCTTGGACTGACAGAAGTAAAATACTTTTTCAACATTTGTAAAATATGTGGCTTATTTCAGAAGTCAGAAGAAACATTACAAGAAACATTACATCAAAGCTTCAATAAATCAGTGTTAAGAATTATTTAAATGAGCATCATGGCTTCACTTCCACCCTGCCCCCTAGCAAGAAACATCTTGAGAACTATTCAGTTTCTCATGCTTCAAGGATTTCAGCGTAGTTCACAGAAATCTAAAACACGTCTGAGGCCTTTGTTTTACATATACGGTTTTAATAAAGTTTTAGGGTGGTTTTTTCCCTCCATTTAAACTCCAGTTTTGTATATTTGACTCCAAGAAATTCACCTGTACATTTGGCAGGCCAGACTGCATGACATAACTAGGTCTTCAGCCAGCTATGAAAATCTCCAAGGTCAGAGAAAAGGAAAAAAACAAAACAAAACAAGAAGTGCCTGTAGACACAATACATGTAGAACTTTTGGCAATCATTTATGTCTTTATTGGAAGAGGACATCAGAGCTTGGATATTTGCATTTGATTATTTTCATTAAAAATAAAAGGGCATTTCACATCAGGATCCAGATGATTAACTGTAACTGCCAAGAATTAATTTGTTTGAAAGAACTCTAAAAAAAACCCCAAACCAAGACAACATATCCTGAGAGTTCAGTATCTTTGGATCCATTTGTTCTTCAGCAAAGGTAAAATATGAAATGCTTGAAACAGATGCAGGAAGAAGTGAAACTCCAAACACAGTATGATCACATAAGCAAGCCAGGGAAGATTTCCAATGACCATCAAAAAAAACATTAAACAAAAAAGGGCCTGAAAGAAGGGTATGAACACACCAAGCAAAGGCTTGCCCTTCCTATTTGTTTTTTATTTATCCAACGGTGGTGCCACCCCAGCTAATTCCATGCACTTTACAAGTGATTTTTCACTAGCATTTTGATGTGAACAGAGTAAACTTAATTGTGATGTATCACTGCTAACAGGATCACACCACGTTCACACCAGACAGGCTTCTTTTGTAAGTGGAAGAACACCAGGAAGAGGTTCATTTTCATATAAACTGTACAAGGAAGTACATTTAGATTCAAAAGCCTTCAAAAATAAAAGTATTTAGTTATTTCATTTGTCAGATAGGGGAAAAAAATGGTCAAAGGAAATTTAGAATTTGCTAGGCATTATGTTTAGAAGAGTCTGGGTTTTGGTTTTTGTTTTTATAGAAGAGAGATGACACCTGACAGTTCAGAATCTCTCACAATCCTGAATATGGAGGGCTGTGAGGAGCTACAACCTTAGCGCAAGACAGGTACCAGGCCACTAAGCAATACTTTGTTCACAATCACAAGGTAGAATACCTACCTACGCTAGTTCCTGCTCTTGACTGAAGCATGACTAAACTTTGGTTTAGTCACTGTTTTGAGGACTACTGTAAAACTCATCTAAGATAGATTCTTGTAGGCTGGAATAGATCAATTTTCATATAAAGAAACTGACAAAATGAGTAACAAGATGATAACTTACCAGGATCAAAATTATCTCCAAATATTCTTTTAGCTGGAATCTTCAGGTTCATGGTGGGAAATTGTTTCTTTAGCTGAAAACAAAACACATACAGCTGGGTTGTACTTAGACACCAAATTACCTAGAAATAATTGCAATTTGCTTGTTTCCTGAACAACACTTTGAACATCTGATTATTAGTAATTCTGTTCCTCTCTGCCATCTTCTCTACTCATATACTCAGAGAAAAGAAAACAAACCCAAAACAATCTGTACCCAGCTTGTTCGCACCAGTCATACCCTTTTAAATTCAAAGGCAATTTCACTTTAGAAAGCTATGGACTCCTGCAGCTATCTTCTGCAGTATTGCCACATTATTTTCCACTTGCCACAGACCAAAAAGATGTACGCGAGAATTTAAATGTTGGTTTTATTCTCTTCTTTACTTCCTTCCTCCACCAATTCTCTCCCTCTCAGATTTGTTTTTGTCTTGCTTGGGGTGCATGCACGAGGTTTAAGACAGGCTGCAGATACAGGTCCTCTGCATTTTTCCAAACGACATTCTTCAAGCTTTAGAAACCACAGGTGGTTTATCCCCAAGTCAAAATTGTAAATAGATCAACAGCCTGTTCTACAATGCTGCATTTGAAACTTGATTATATTCTACAGTTAATAAACTGACCAGAATATTATATAAAACAGCACTGAATTTATTAAAAAAAACCCTGACATGAGCTAAGCCTTGATTACATTTGGTTCATCTTCAAGTGCTCCAGAAAAACAATCTTACTCTCATGTTCTTAAAGAGAGTCATTTTCTAATACAGTTTCTCTTCCAGTTAGCAGTGCAAGTTCTTTTTGGTGTATTATACTACATGAATTACACTGAACTGAAACCAGACTAAATGTCCTTGTGGTTATACTTCCCCAGGACTTCCACTTCTATAGGCATCAGAAAAACCGATGCTGAACAAACTTGAGCAGAGCAATGCTAAACTGAACATTAAGAGAACGTGTTAAAGGGAACAGGGTCACCAACATTTGCTCTGCAGATACTGAAACGGGGATACTTTGTTTTCACATCACCTAAAAGATGCAGGCAAAGCACGGCATGGGATATCCAAGCTGTCTTCAGCTCACACTTTCTAAGACAGCTCCGAGCTTGCTGCCTGCATTTCTATATGGCTACCACATATCATATAAACACACGTACAGCCAGGCAGAAAGAAGAGCCTATTTCCCATAAGGCCAACAGAAGACAAATGCAGGCACAGATAAGCAGCTGGTAATCTTTCCTTATGGTGATCACAGAGGAATTTCTTCTTTTGTTGAAGAAAAAAACTGTGAGCTCTAAACATGATGAGCTGCAGAAAAGCATGGACATAGGACAGAAAACAGACTGCACATCTGAGCAAGTATTTGCACCACTTGCCCACTACGTAAGAGGGACAAAATACTATTTGGAAACTAAGTATAGATTCCTTGGATTTGCTGCTAGAAGAGTCCAGTTGTATTTGGACCACTGCTACAAAATTTGACTATGAAACTGCAGGTAGGAATTGCCATGACTGACTCATCAGAAAGTTTATATTAAGAAACATGGATCTGTTCACTGCTTTCAGTACTTCAAAGTAAAACACTTATTTTAAATCGTAGAATCACAGAATGGCCTAAGCTGGAAGGGACCTTAGAGATCATTTTAATCCAGCCTCCCTGTTGCCAGGGACGCCACCTCTCGACTAGATCAGGCAACACATGGGGACCGAACGGGAATCAAACCCGCGTCCTTGGCACTGTTAGCGCCACGCTCAACTGACTGAGCTAACCGGCCCCCTAGATGTTCTAAGTCTGGCAGTGATTTTTACTACACGAACAAATGCACGTTTCAGATATTGTGACAACCAGGAAATTGGAAGTTTCTCTTGTTACACTGTGATCCCAAGCAACAATAAAAAGTGACAAATAAGTGGATTTTGAGTTTGAAATTCAAAAAAAGCGAAGTTTAAAAACCTCACCCTTTCATTTTCTTTAAACAGGCTCCTATGGTTATTGAAAGTCGACTCAAACTCCTCAAGAGGGAATTAACACAAATGGTAACACTGTAAACAACTGTTACTCTGTGCTATCCTGGCACGGTTTCATAGCTTGCCTTTTGCTTACCGTATTGTAGAGTTTATCAAACTCTGCATACCGTCTGAAGACAAACCACTCATTTCTGCCAACCGAGACCAACACTTTGTAAACCTGTAGTAATAAAGATCAAGTTATTGCCAACAGTATAGTTTAAGAAAACTTCCCCAGTTTAATCCTGTGGTGGAAATAAGAGCAGGTTCTTAAGTGTACTGTGCAAACATACTTGTGGAGCTATATATTTCTTACAGCTAAGTCACACAGACATCAACACAAATGATTAAAAGAACAATTAAAAGATTCTCATGTTTTATGGATTATTTTCAGACATCAGGTAAACAAAAGTAACACCAAAGCTGATTTAACAGAGTTCTATAAATTCATATCCAGCAAGAATACCTGGCCATCACATAGTTTATAAAAATCTGCTATGAAATTTGTTAACTTGATAATTCTTAACGAGACTAATATTAAGGAAGTAAAGCATTTAACACTGAGATTCCCTTCAACAACGCCTTAAGAGAAAGCACATACGGAAGTCAGTTATAAAAGACAACCGTTCCTTGCAATATCTTGAATACATAACTATAGTCAGTGTTCTGGCAGATGACACAATTCTATATGGGGGGAAAAAAACCACTGCTGTATCCAAAATACATGACAGGTGACATAATATGCAGCATCAGGATCAAGAGAGGTGTAGTTGGAACCTTCTGCACAGTTCTGGCCATTCAAGTCCCACGGCAGCCGAGGACTCCAGTAACTAAATAGACTGTCAGTCCCTTGCTTCATAAATCCTATTGACAGGTGAGCGTCCAGCAGGCTTCTCCTGCCTCTTACACAACTAGTTGACCTCCCTTTTCCACCTTCTTCCAGAAGGAGTCTGGCTATTCCTTCAGTGAAGAGGATGGGCACAGTAAGGAAATGAGTGCAGAGGCTGCTAATTGCTGATGAAGAAAACTGGACCAATGCCCCAGTCTCCCTTCTGTCCTGCAACAGCAGCTTACCTCTCTCTTTAATTCCCTCAGTGGAAATGACAGTCACCATCACCAGCTCCTTAGCCTGCGATTTGCACTCATGCTATGTTAACTGCTTAAGTAAGGTGCTCTCAAGTCTTCCTTGAGGAACACTGAAGGATGCAAATAGGCATCCAGTAGGATGCTGATGAGAAGACTCTTTGAAAACTAGCTTTTCCCTTACATCGCTTAACCAGCATTATCATAAAACCTAGCTACACATCTTCTAGAGCCTCCTGAGGCTGTAATAGCAAAAGCTTTGGCTGTAGAGACTCTAAGTACTGTCTTCCTGAACTAGGTGCCTTATACAGCATGTTCAAACACACAACGTCTTCACTGCTCATGGCAGATCAATGCCAAGAAGCTTAAGAAGTAGGCCATGGACAACTTCTTAGATTAGCAGGGCAAAATGCACAGGCTGCAAAAGCGGACAGGCAAGCTTAACTTGGGATACAAGAGGATATTCACCTCCTTGGTAACCTCAAAATTAAACCAGTTTTGTTCCTGGAGTAGTCAGCTTTCGAACAACGATGCATTCAACATTTTTTACGTGAGAGAACATAAAAAGCCATACAAGGTCATCCAGTTCACACCATCACTGAAGCTCCTGAATATCCAACAAAGGAGAAATTGCAAGTTCAACAGTTAAGTAAGCACTGAATGGTAAGAACACATAGGATATCTATGAAAAAATCGGTAAAGCACAAAAATATAACACATCTTTGGGCTGTATTACTAGTCCTAGCTACACCTATTTAATGATTTGCAATGTTCAATTGCAAACATGCAAGGCTTGTTTCTAGAAAGGCAGAGGGAAAGAATCTAGCCCTGCTTAGATAATAAACTTTTCAAATCCAATTATTCCTAAACCAAAACTAATCTTGGAAACCTCCTAAAACATAGATGAGATACATCCACACTCTGTAATAACCTTGGATAAGTAACACAAAGCTTTAAGAAAGGAAAAAAAAAAAAAAAGAAGAAACAGAATTCCTAAAAACATCACCATCACAATCATCACCATAAACTACCTTCCCAGATACAGAGAGGATAGAATCCAGCTGTTTCTGGAAGTGATCGATTTCTTCACAAAAAGAAGTCACTGAAATTAAAAGGCTTCAACTCTGTTTTGGTGGGTAATGCTACCAGATTAAATATTCAAGATGTATTAAACAAAGATAAGTAAAAAAGTACACTGTTTTTCAATTTCAAGAGAGCAAGCACTGAAAAAGGAAACTATTTATTAAGTGTCAACAAAATAAAAAAAAAAACCTCCCTAATTTCCACAGGCCTGGAGATGAGTATTATACATTGCAGGCGTGAGACAAAGTTTCCAGATTTAATCAGACAAACAGCACCCTTGAAAGAGAATTCTTAATAAGCCTGTATATGATGGGGGTGTAAAGGGAGATGAGAAGAGGTCAGAACTGAAAATTAAGCCTCAAACATCAAACAGCATAGGGATAAAAGCGAGAAATCCAAAACAAAGCTATTTGTTAAAAGACACAAACGAATGGCCCACTACGCAACAAGGACAGAACAACAATTAATATAGCCTAGATATGGTCCAATCAAGTAGGTATTCTGCTCTTTTTTATGAAGTGAATGCTGAATCTTCAGAAAAAGGCAGGACAGTAAACTAGAACGGATAGAAGTGGAATTAAGCAGAAACAAGAAAGCTTCCCTGCCAGAATGCTCGAAAAATGTAAACATTAAACTATTTGTCAATAAGAAAAAAAAGGTAGTAAATATATCAAATATATGGAGTATTTAACAAAACCAAATCAAATATTCAAAAGGATATGAAAACACTCAGGAGGAGTGAAGAGTTAATTTCCAAAGACAAATCTGAAGAGCTTGACTTATTTTTCAGAATGAAGATTGCACAGACACATGATTGCTTTTAAAAATGCTTCGTCAGGACAAGCGTGACGTGGGGAAAAAGAAGCCAAGTTGCACATACTCCTCTTGTTTCCATGCCAGCATGAAATGAGGTTTGAGCTGGAATTCATAGCTTCTATTCAGACCAGTAAGATTCTCAGAAGCAGTACTGATATATACTGTAAGTGACAGCAAGGTGAAGATCTATGTAAGTCACCTGAAGTCTTTCCTAGCCTTTATCATTTTAACCGTTCCTTTCACTCTCAGGTTTTTAATGCTTTTTATGCAAATGGCACTAACATTGCAATCAGAAATAAACAGCTATACCTACCACATATTTTTTAAGAACTGTTTCCTCCTGCACCCTGCTCTCACTCCACAACAAAACCAGTACTGATGGGCTCCCATCATTACAACAGAGAGACAAAAAGAGAAGACACAGTAAAACCACTGACAGGCACATGCTGGAATTAACAGTTCCTACCATGAAGTTTAGTAGGACCCTCACTTCTGCTGTCAAATCCTAAAATAAATGTGGCAATACTCAAAAGCTTGGCTGTGAAAAGAAGTTCTTGTCAAACTGCTAATTATTCCCTGTTGCAGAAAGCAGAAGCCACCAAGACAAAGTGTACCTCCACAGAGTGCAAGCTGGGTTGGACTTCTTTTCCTCCCTCTCAAACCCAAATTTCTGAAGTCTCCTACTCTTCCTTCTACAGCTTTCTAAGGGGCATGCACAAAGAAAGTGTCTTTGAGTTGCTAAGGTTGTCACACAGATCCTTAGGTAAAATGACCTGGAAATCACAACACTAGTATGTACCACACTCACACATTTTAACAGGAGAACTACCAGCACTGAGGCAATAAAACAAACCTGTTTTGGTCAAGTCTAGACTTTAACGAAGTTCTTTCCAATCATTTGAGTTTCACATGCATGCAGCAGCTTGAAGTATTAGTAAAGTTCTCTTTTGCTTGCTCCCTTTACCAGCACTCTCCTTCCCCAAATTACATCTTGACACACTTGTAGAAGCAAACAGTGTTATTCTTCTCCAGGGAAAGCAGGTGAAGAAGAAAGGCAGATGTATTTTACTCAAAGTATATCTTTGTGTTGTTGTGTTCTTCAAACAGTAAGTGTGTTTGCATTCCACATCTGAAGAGTGACTAATTCGCTCAAAAAAATAAAAAAGCTTAGAGGAAGTTGCACAAGAGCAATGAAGTAGCTGGAGCTTTTTTAGAGGAAGTATTAAGATACTGTCTTTTAATCCTAGCACACATCTAAAGCAAAACAAGTAAAACAAGAATCTATGCCACACTATTTTTCAGTATGCAACGCAAAGTTTCTCCACAGAATAGGTACTTGCAGAAAGCAAGTCAAATTGGCAGGCTGAAAAAGGAAGAGGGAGGGGAATGACAAGGAGTGGAAATGGAACAGGACACAAAAAACCTCACAGGCATTAGAACCAGAAAACAGGAAGGATGATAGAAGAAAGGTCTTTCAAAAAGCTGATCTTTTGCACAGAAGAACCCCAACCAAAACCAAAGCCACACTTCAGTCCTTTACAAAATAAGTACTTTAGTGAAAAATCACGTAGGACACCAAATCTTAATCTGATCTGGTACCAAAATGTTATACCTGCATTTGGACAGTTATGTATTTAAATAAGAAAATGCTGTTATTTGGGAGTACAAATACCAGAAATTGGTAAAGTCAAATTCTTTTTGGGAAAAGCACCACAGTTAAATACTGTAAAACATTCACAACTTCTCACACTGGACTATGGTCAGTACTCAAAAAGAGCAAGTGAAAAGATTTCCATAAACCTGTTGAAAACAACACCAAGCTTACTAGTAAAAAGAAGTAGCATTTCTAGGCACTAACTGCCTATGCATTTGCCTACAGTGCTTACACTCTTACATACTTACAGTAAATCTTTTTTTCTTCTCTCTGTGTTCATCAGAGCTGGGAATGCTAACACTTGGGCAGCTTTCTTTGAGATCCATCGTATGTATTCTTTTGATAAACTTGTTACAGGACCCTGCTTCACGTGTTGCAATTTGAAGATATCTTCAATGGTATTGATCCTTGATACGCAGCTTTTCTTGAGAAAATGTGAATTCCATCATGTAATCTTAAAGTGAATATAAAAGGAAAATTAAGTACGGGAAAACTTAACTCACAGTGCTAAAACCTGCATGACAAGAACTTTTCCTGGCAGGAAATGCACTTTAATATGCACATATAAAGTCATAATCATTACAATTCTGTAAACTGCTTCATGCTTGTGGTGCTCTGTTGTTTCACTGAAATCGCTCACATTCTCTAAGGACACAAGTGCACCTAAAAAAATCACTGAGTTGTGTAGACATACTAGAAACAGAGTTGGGCCCACTACAGACAATACTTTGAAGGAACAAAAATAGAGCATGGAGAAATAATTAAAGATGACAACCTGGTATCAGACATCTGAGGAAAGCCACTAGCGTGTACATTCAGAACAGTTTATTTCAAAAACAAAGGTTTTCAGCTGCACGAGTCTGTACCAAAGAGCAATTCAGATTTGTCAGAACATGCTGAGTGTATTTAATGATCACACCAGAGATGAAAGATAATATGAGTAAAAAAAAAAAAATCGTGAATTTTAGAGAGGGACATGGGTAGCATCATGTGTTTGAATATTTACCTTCTCTACCCCCTCCTTCCCCATACTTGACATACTTTGTGTTTAGCAGAACAGTAAAGTCGTCCACTCCCTTCAGCAGAACAGTTAGCTTCCTTGCAGAACTTGAGAAGGGCACAAGACAAGAGAGAAAATAAAGCCATCAAAAAAGCAGAGAGCTTAGAACTAGTCAGATGCCTCTTCACTCAATGAGGGACAGTACTCTCCATATCTGCCTTGAGCACAAACAGTTTACTGGACTCCATTGCAAACAACAGGAACTTTAGCACTGCCTAAAAGCGGCCAAAATTAACGGTACATAGCTACAAGCCTGTGTTCGGGCCTGCACAGGTACCCAGAGTGCTTTAGTGAACGTAGCCCAGCTTTTGAAAAGCCATGTTTCTGACCAAATTACAAACACGAGAAATTTTTTTTTAGAAAGAGGAGACCTCAAGTTCTCTTCAGAACACCCAGAGGAAAAAGGAGTGCCCAGTTCAACATTCAATTCCTTATTTTCTTAAAACAGAGAAACGTAGAAGTGACTGTTTATTTCATATCATAAATTTCCAAACAGCACAAACTAATCCAGTCAATTCTGCTATTAGAGCAACACCCATATTTATGATGGCATGAAGGCCAAAGTCCCTGGAATCCAGTGAAAATATATGTTCTTGATACCCAACTAGTCTCAGTCATTCAGTTGACTGTTTTTCTTGTTCTCAAAAGCTCCAGTTCAAGCTTTGTGTATTACTCCTCCCACAGTATTTAGTAACTGTCAAAAAAAAAATAAAAATCTATCTGGTAACTAAACAAAAATGAGTGTTTGAAACCCCTGCAATCAAAGCTAAGCAACAGATCATCCATACTGCAACATACTCAGAGAATTAGTTCTTCCCTACTTCACTGATTAGGCAATTAGAGAGTTGAGCAGGGATAAGCCTCCTCCCCACCTCTAGTCAAATAAACTATAACATAGGTTATCCAAGCCAATTACACAGACTTTGAGTTTCAAATTGGTTTCTTTTTTCCTCTGGCAAGGCGCTGTTAAAAGCTTTATTATAACAATATTTCCTATTTTCCACAATTTTGTACTGGCATGGGATTAAGACTATTCTTCACCCACTGCCACGTGCTAAAATTAAAGTTAGCTGTGCTCTTCTCCATCATAAGAGGTCCACTAAAATAGTCAGTAGGCACCACTTCCAGTAAGTGTTTCACTAAGCTTAGACTTCACTAAATACTTCTGTCAATCTTTAGCCACTTCATTTCCAGCACCAGGAACCGAGCACAAGTCCCTGTGTTTGTATCTGTCTTCCTCCACATCACAGAAAAACAAGTAAAGCTTTAAAATGGATTAGGTATTCCCTCACTAATATCACTAACAGTCTTTCTCCTCCTGTAAAGTGACATTCATTATAAAGGTTCCTAACATGCTTGTGCTCATTCTCACAATACAGGCTGTACTTCTCTCATCCCTTTTATTTTTTATTCTCAGTTTTAAATACCAGCACGAGAACAGTATGGATTAAAAGCTGTACTGAATATCTCCTGGACGACTGAGCTTTATTCCAGATCTAAAGTTGAAAGACCTACGGAAAACAAAAGAAGGAAATGTCACCCAGATTAATTCAGGAAGAGTTTATTCATCTTACTGGGGAGAAGAAGAATAAATTATCTGAGAAGCTGAAACTGCAATGTTCGTACTTCTTCCTTCAAGTTGCCTGGAAGATCACTGGCTGGGATTATTTTCTTTCCCCAAGGCATCTGCTCCAAGTTGTGCCTTGGTCACCAATACTGAGCTGAACTGAAACCTGGAAGAAACATATTTTCAGTTCACCACTAAGCTCCAGACAATCAGAGCTTTCTTTCAATTTCTACTTGCCATAAGCATATCAGCTCTCTTAGGAGTTTCTTAGATCTGAACTGTAGGTCTGACTACAGGTAAAGGGAAAGATTTGCCATGCCATAGTTTAGGAACACAGCTGTAGTTTCAGCAGCAGGTAAAGCCACTGAAGTTGTGGTAACTACATCAAGTAATAATGGAGAGGAAGTAGTAGAGACGTTATTTTCACCCACAGTTTCCAAAATGCAAACTGCAGTGGCTTGAGGGTTGCCAGATAGGAGTGAATCTGTGTCTAGTTACAGCTTTTCCTTTAAGTAAGGACAAGCAGCCCCTGGCCTCAATTTTGATAACAGGCAGAAAGGAGAAGGAACTTTCAAAAACTAGAGCAGGTCAGATTTAGACATTAGGAAGAAGTTCTTTACTACAAGGGCAGTGAAATGAACAGGTTGTCCAGAGTGGTGGTGGACACCCCATCCCTGTAGACATTCAAGGTCTGGCTTGATGGGGCTCAGAACGACTTGATCTAAAGATGTCCCTGTTCACTGCAGGAGGTTTGAACCAGATGACCTTAAAGGTCTCTTCTATGATTCTACAAAAACCAGATAGCAAAATAAATTCCCTTAAACCATACATTGACACTACTGAAAAAGCATGTAGGTAACACACTACAGGTTAACACCAGTGTTGACCAGAAACAGCTAAAACTTTTTAAGTTGTTACAGTATCGAGGCCTGGAACAGGAGAAGGCAGAGACAAATGGGTTAGAACACAACAGAAGCCACACATCCTCCTGGCAAAGTTTCAAGTCGATCAACAGCTACACTGTCTATTCTCTCCATGGTGGCTGTCAAAAAGCAAGCAGTATTTTCACTGTTTCCTGCAGGAAGCCACAACAATGTCAAATTTCAGGCTGACCCTTGACTCTGGTGAAGTAAGACCATGGCAATAACAGAACCCTGACACTATGAGAACATCTATATCACAAAGAAAGAATTTTCTGAATGCCTTGCAATTAAATATTTTGTGCAACCTCATAATAGCTATATGCAACAGGCCGACATTACATAGTTTAGTGATCATGGCAATGTCCTTTTACACCTTTCTACATACACAAGTCTTAAGTTGTATTAAAAAAGGTTTCTGAAGCTTAATCAGATTATTTTATTCTGTACTGACACATTTTCTTTTCTTTTTTTAAATGATAATGGCCTGAAGATGATACCACTGTATAACCAAAGACCCTTGTTCTGGGTGCTTACAAGTCCATCTCTGCCAAGAATGTCCTGAACTAGATTAGGAAGCTGTGTACTCACTTGCTGCCTCTCCAGTTGTAGTTAAATTGCCTTAAACACCTCTAAGAACCATATAAATCAGCTAGCATACTCACTTCAACTCCGAATAATACAAGGGAAGCAAAACCAAGAATAGTCAAAAGCCCCACGACAGTCTCTCTGGAAGCAAACTCGGAGGAATCACCAGGATCCATACTCACCTAATGGAACTGACCAGGCATTTCCCTATACACTAACCATCCGCCCAAAAGGACTTACTCTAGGACAGAGTCGCCAGTAAAACCAACTGCTGGAAATCCCACCTAAGCATGATTACAATTACAGAGGAGATCTTCATAAGCAGAAGCAGAAAGCAAGACGCAGGAGACAGTCCTACTATTTGCTATAAACACTACTCTATTTCCTCCGACTTTGGAGAAAGTATCATCTTTGACATACTCTTCATCACTTCGTCAGTCTTCTCCACGAATATCCTGATAATGACTCAACATATCACTGGACATTGCACAACTCCCAAGAAAGCCCAGAAAGCCAACTTCTCAACTGCTGTATGATGAAACAAGAGGCCCACTCTCTTGTTACCAGACAAGCAGCTGACACACAGGAAATGGGAGAAAAGATATTCAGAATCCAACGCAACAGAAACACAGGATGAGGAGAGCCAGGGACTGCAGAAGTCACAGGCTTCAGATAAGGGTCAGATCACTAACCTGTAAAGACAGAGGGACGGCCAGAAGATTTTGAATAACTAGATTCTGAAGAAAATGGATTTCAGAGAGGCCATCCTTTTAAATATCACATACATGTGAATTTTAATGTGGGAACACTAAACAACAATGTAGACCTCTAGAAATATTCCAGCTGAAGAAAAAAAGAGAGCACTCACTAAAATACTGTGGCTTGCCTCCACACTCCCTTCTAACTACAATTTGAGAGAACTGAGAATTCAGCCACTGCTATAAAAGAAAAAGCCTGCTCTGTTTACACATCCACCCACTACCTTGCATTTTCAAAAATCTCTAGTAGTACCACTATGGAAAGCAAATTGCTACTCTGCAGCAATATGGGCAAAGTCCAATTCAACCAATTCTTTCTACTTGTAGAAAAGGACAGCAGGAAAAATGAAAACTCAGCCAAGGGAAAGAAATAAGTAGCTCCTCTTTTTTTGTCTCTATCGAGTCTCCTTGGGAGAAGTCAGGCAAACGTTTCCTTCCCACGATTCTACTGCACCCCAGAACACCCCTTCTGCCTCACCTCCCAAAATAAGCTTCACTAAATTACTCTAACTGGCATATAACAGGATTTGTGGCTTGGACTGAATCTATTTGCATTCATGTTT